CTCTTTTAGAGTTTAGGGACCATTCAATAGAAATTAGGGGATTTTCTCAATTATTTGTGTATAATATACATGAATTTTTTGGTGATATAAATTTCAGGAACTTTTTTGTAAAAACTTTACAAAACCCTCTGTAATAACGTAGGAAAACAATACATATAATCTCACTAGATTCACGACACTTTTTTAGCAGTTAGGGGCTACTAACAGGAATTAAACGATTCTCTCAATTTTTCATGTGTTAGTACATGATTTTTTTAGTATGAATTTTGAAAACTTTTATTGCAAAAACTTTACAAGACCCTCCAAGGGAACGATATCTAGGCTCGCCATGATTCACGCCATTTTTTTAACATTTAGGGTCATCCAACAAAAGCTACAGGCCAAGTCAAACAAAGGGAAAGAAAAGGTTGTGGAACAAACAAAGAATGTAGATATGAGGCCTAGTAATATTGCAAACATGGATCAAGCATTCTCCATGCTACCAGCAAACTACAAAGGATCATAATACATACAAAATTTGTTTTTTTTGTTTTTTTTTAGAAGGTAACAACTTGTATTCTATTCCAAAATAAAAACTAGAACCTACCACAACAAATTACAGTTCCTAATTACAATTGTGGAGAGTAGCAGGAAGATCTTTAATCCTATAGAAAAATTTTACAAGGAACCTAAAACATCTGTAACTGATTCTAGATCTACCATGTACTCTTGTTTACAAAAAAAAAACTAAGCAATTCATCTTAATCTTCTGGATGGAATTACTCTTGTTTTGGAAGCATCTGAGATTTCTTTCTTTCCACACAGACCACCAGATGTAAGCCGGAATGATTTTTCATCTTTCTTTATGCCCAGTAATGCTTGCATAAATGCTCCATATCTTCAGGGTCTGCGTAACTTTCCTAGGCATAACCCACTTCATGCCCTTCAAATTGATAAAAATATTCCACAAAATGTTGGTTATTCTACAGTGAAGGAAGAGATGGTTGACAATCCCTGCTTCTTCTTCACCACATAGAAGACACCTAGGACTCAGTTGAATATTTCTTTTCATAAGATTTTTCTGGGTCAAAACTGCTTGCTTAGCGAGGAGCCAAGTAAAACAAGACACTTTGTAGTGGATTTTAGTTTTTCATATCAGCTTCCATGGCCACCCATTCCTCTGACTGTTACAAGGATTAAACTTTTTGTAAGCTCTTCTAACACTGAAATTGTCCTGATTGTGATCTTGTCATCCCAAACTATCTTGTGCATCAATAGTTCCTTTGAACTGCCCCAAGACCTTGTAAAACTCCACCAACCTTTGGATCTCCCAGTCATTTAGAGGTCTTCTAAAACTCATATTCCACCCTTGGTTTGACCACATCTCTGCCACAGTGGCCCTTTGCTGCTGGTTTAGGGTGAAAATATCTGGGAACAAGGTTTTTAGAGATCCTTGTTCTAGCCATCTATCTTTCCAAAAAGAGGTTTTCCTACCATTACCTAATTTAATACTGCAGTTTCCTCTAAGCTTTGGCCAAAGGTTTCTGATGGCTCTCCAATGGCTTGATCCATAAGTGCTAGTGACCATTTTAGTTATCCAGAGATCCTTCATTTCATATTTGGCTTGTATTACATCTTTCCACAAAGCTTGCTCACTGGAAGCAAATCTCCATAGCCACTTCATCATAAGGCGCTGATTTTGAGTTTTTAAATTCCTTATCCCCATCCCCTTGCCTGTTTACTCTCAATCAGAGTATGCCACTTAACCAAGTGTAATTTCTTGGTTTCACTATTTCCTTCCCACCGGAAGTTCCTCCTCAAAGCATCAAGTCTGTCAATAACACCATCAGGAATAGGGAAAAGCGACATCATATAGGTAGGCATAGAGTCCAAAACACTATTGATGAGTGTTAATCTTCCTCTTAAAGAAAGGTACTGGCTCTTCCAATTCGCCAACCTTTTTTCACATTTTTCAATCACCCCATTCCAAATGCCTATAGATTTACATTTGGCTCCCAAGGGCATCCCCAAGTATGTAGTTGGTAGGTCTCCTGTCCTTCCACCCAAAATCCTAGCCAGAGAGGGTAAATTAGGGACTTTACTGGATACAAGAAACTCTTGTTCCAATTGATGTGAAGCCCAGAGATAGCTTCAAAAATAACAAAGATTACCCTTAAGATCTTGAGTTGGTTCTTGTTAGCATCACAAAAGACAAGAGTGTCATCTGCATATTGTAAGTGAGTAATCTCCAGCTCAGCCCCCACTCTACTGGATACCCTAAAACCTCTCAGCCACAACTTTTCTTGAACGATTTTCAACATATCGTTTAGCCCCTCCATAGCGATAATAAAAAGAAAGGGAGATAATGGATCTCCTTGTCTTAAACCTCTTTGTGAAGAGAAGAAACATGTAGGAGAGCCATTTATTAGAACTGAGAATTTCACAGTGTTGACGCAAAACTTCATCTATCTTAACCATCTACCTCCAAAACCCCTTTTAGAATGAGTTTCCAACATGAACTTCCAATCGAGGTGGTCATAAGCTTTTTGAATGTCCAGCTTACATAGGATGTCTGGGGCACTGCTTCTAGTTCTAGCATCAACACACTCATGCCATCTAAGAATGGCATTCATTATTTGTCTCCCTTTTATGAAGGCCAACTGTTGGGGGTACACCAGTTTGTGCATAAGCCTTTTGATTCTCTCGGTGAGTATTTTGGAGATGATCTTGTACACGCTACCAATTAGACTAATGGGTCTGAAGCCAATGAGCTTCTTAGCACCCTTTTTTTTTTTGGAATTAAAGTCACATAGGTAGAGTTGAAGTTTTTCTCAAAAATGTACCTCTCATGAAAGTTCTTGACTGTAGCAATCACATCTTTCCCAATAACCTCCCAACAATAGGTATAAAAGGCCATGGTAAAACCATCAAGACCATGAGCTTTGTCACTAGCACAAAGTTTGACACTATCTCATATCTCTTGATCCTCAAATTCCTTCTGAAGCATGAGATTATCTTCAGTATTAATTTTGTGATTCATCCTGCATCCACCTGAAGGTCTTCAAATTTCTGTTTCAGAATATAAGTTCTGATAGAAAACTACAATTTCCTTCTTTATGTCTTCCTGACTACTTCACCCCCCCCCCCCCCCCCCACATACATACACATTTAGTTCATCAATATTGTTGTATCTTCTGTGCGAGTTGGCAGTTCTGTGGAAGAACTTGGTATTGTTGTCGCCCTGTTTCAGCCAATTAACCCTTGATCTCTGTCTCCATGCAATTTCCTCATATTTAGCTATATTTTCAAACTCTAACTTTAGTTCAGCTTTTGAGTGGATCTCCTCTTCCCCAAGAGTTCTTTGATCTTGGACTTCCTCAAATTCAGCAAGTTGATTAACTATGTTCTGTTTCTGTAATGCCGAGTTTCCTTGCGCTGATTTGCTCCACTCTCTCAACTTAACTTTAAGTGCTTTCAGCTTAAAGGCTAAGATGAAATCTAGCCTTCCTTCACAATCAAAGGACCTCCACCACCTTTTGCAAGATTGATTGCTTGATATTTTTGAAGCCTTCATTCCACTCATCAGACACTAGAAACCTATCTAGCCTAGCTGTAATGTCATGTTTGTCCCCTTTCCTCCATGTGTAACTTCCACCTGCTAATTGAAGGTCCAACAAGCTCATAAATCAGATAGGTCAGTCATCGATTTTGTGATTCTTGAATAATTTTTCTTCTCAAAGGGGAATCTAACTGTGTTGAAATCCCCACAAACTACCAAAGGGCCGTTGAACAGACCTCTAGCTGACCCAACTTCCCACCAAACTTCTTCTCTTTCTTCTCTACTATTTGGAGCGTAGATGCCAGTAAGTACCCAGGTGAAGCCAAGACTTTTACTTGTGAACTTGCAAGATATAAAGTAAGCTCCCACACTGCTAACCTCCCCTATCCAAACTTTCCCGTCCCAAAAAATTAGGATGCCCCCTCTAGTACAACTAGCTTCAAGTTGACAAAATTCCACTCCTCTGTTTGCCCATAAATCTTTAATAATGTTTTTCACATTCCCTTCAATCTTGGTCTCTTGGAAGCAATAAACATCAGCCTTCCACCCTTGGTTTAGATTCTTGATTACACGCCTTTTATTTGCCTGATTCAGGCCCCTCACATTCCATGAAATTATCTTGATTGTCACTTATCACTAGCTAAAGTGTAACCCCCCCCCCCCCCCCCCCCCTGCTTCTAGTACCATTACTTCTGAAGTTGCTCCCACATTCTAGGCTCTTAAGTTCTTTTGAGCCTTTAATTGCAGCTACTCATTCAAATAATCAAACGCATAATGTGCTGCTAACTCAGACACCACTAGTGCAACACATGACTGAAAGACGGGTGAAATTAAAGCACAATAGGAATGGTAAACTGCAGTCAAGTCAAAAGGGAAGATACAAGCTTCCACTGACATGCTGAAATAGATTCAAGAGCATAACCAAATTACAACCAGCAAATACTATGCTACATTTGCAAATCGAAGAACAAGTGTTGAGTCTGGGGGAACTATATGAGTTGGTTAGTATCAATAAAAGGAAGGTATAAGAAGAAGGAACTGAGAAGGTATTTGATGAATAAACATTTTAATTTGATTGCTCCAGTAGAAAGAAACGAGTAAATTAGGGGTTGGCAAGGTAATTAGCTGAATGGACAAAACTCTAGGCAATGGAGGCTGGATGTATCTTTATGAACATGTAAAAGTTCTAGACCACAATAAGCTAGTTAAGATGGTAAGAAAAATCCTAGATGCTAGAGGAACTGTGTAACACATTCAGTCCTTCAATTATCAAGAGTAGGATACGTACAACTGATAGGAGATCATCCCAAAACATAGCAGCACTTGAAATCTTTAAGTGGGAGTTAGATTGGTTTAGAAGAAAGCAATACAAAGCTGCAAAATTTCAGTATTCTATAATGAAACATTTGAAAATCAAAGGCCAGAAACAAAATTTTAGACGAGAACTGCACCGCGTTCATCAACAGAAGAAAGATCACTTAGAATTGCTACTTCTAAAAGCCTCTCCGAACGAAAGAAACTTAACAGCACTATGTCAATATTCAACAAGCAAGTACGCAAAAATATGTCAATATTGTAACTGCAAAGTTGCATATTAACAGGCTATCATTCTGTATCCATCATTGTTGCCGTCCAAAAGAAGCCAATTTAACACAAACAATCAGATGAGTGTCATCTATCTGCCTATTGTAGAAAAGTGAATCAAGTCATGGAGTAGGCCTCAGTCACCCTCAAACTATGGGAACCAAACCAAATCATTTTGATGCCATTTTCATCCCGGAGGAGAACTTGAATGTCCATCTACTATCTATTGATGGATCATGTTGAACTGCAATCTGGAAAGCTGTTGAGGAATTGTAGATATTACAGGTCCATATCTCTGCCATGAATTAGGAGAGCATCAGTATGATGAGAAAATATTATAAAGATGATCGCATATATGAATAGTACTCGCTGTTGAAAGATTACACCAGATAACACAATCCTGTAAAGGAACCTTTGATCACAGTGTTCTTATATGCAAACTAACTTGAAAGAACAGAATAGGAGGCAACAGAGAAACCATAAATCATTCTATACCTGAACATTGTCATAAAGTTCAAACAATGGCACAGCAAGAAGTTTTAGATTTTTGGGGACAGCAAAGTACTCTCTTTCAGATAAGTGAACGAGGAAGAGCTTCTTACACTCCTGCACGACATTCAAAGAGAACTAAATCAGGCAAATATGAAACAAGGGATAGATCAGTGATTCATGAAACAACGGGATAGATCAGTCAATCAAAAAAACTTGATACTACTGTACCTTAGGTTTTGTTATGTGTGGAGGACAGTATGGATACATTATGGTTTCAAAGTTCGGCCTCCACCAGGTGGCCACGCACTCACCTATCTGCATTTACAAATGCCACATCATAGGAATATGTATTTATTTAAATTTCAAAAGAGAGAGAGAGAGAGTTATACCTTATATAAGAACAAATAAAGCCAAGTAATAATTGGGCTGGTTGGCTTTTGACACACTTTTTATCCCATTTCAGCCCAAGTAACTTTCGGCCAGGTTATTTATCAACTTATAGCCCGTTTGGCTTAACTTAAAAAAAGTTGTTTTTAAAAAGTCAAACTTTAGTAACTTTTAAGTTAAAAAAATGAAAAGTAGCGGAGTATCTACTCTTAAACTTTTTTTTAAGTCAAAAACAAAAAACGAGTCTCAAGTGAACAAAGAACTATCAATAAGTTCTACTGATAATGGTATAAAACTGAATCGATCAAAAATTATGGTGGATAATGTTTTTGCATACAACGTTGCACTTAACATTATGCAAGACGGTGAGGATCTTGAACCTCTGTCTGTCAAGAATGGCGACGAAGATGTGATTGGCCAAAATGGCAAGAGGCAATTCAATCAGAGAATTGAATTCCTTGCTAAACGTGAGGTTTGGACTAGTAGTCCAAACGCCTAATGATTCAATAACTTTTCGAAACGTCATCGATTTATCTATACATGGAAGTCTTGAAATACATTTGATAGATGTGGTTACAGCTTATCTTAAAGGTTCACTTGATTATGAAATTTATTTACAAGACTAGGAAAACATATTGTTACTAGTTCATACAAACACCGAATATTAAATATATTTAGATTATTACAGGTCCATCACCTATCAGGTGATCTATTTAAGTCGGTCTGAGACGAACAAGTGATGTTGCATGTAATTGATAGCAAGACCTCTACTTATGAAAACAACGTTGTCCACTACCGTTTGGGGTCATACTATCTTACATGCATCATCACTTGTTCGCCTCAGACCGACTCATTATACTAAATACTCTCCGTCACAATTAGTTTTTGGTTATGAACCAAATATCCTCATCTACGAATTTCTTGATGTGTTGTATATGTGTCAGTGGCACCACCACAACACACTAAGATGGACCTCCAAAGAAGGTTAGGAATATATGTTGGGTTTGATTCACCCTCAATAATTCGCTACCTGGAACCATTGATGGGAGATTTATTCAGTGCGAGATTTGCAGATTGTCGATTTGATGAAACAACATTTCTGCAATTAGGGGGAGACAAAAAAGAACTTAAGAGAGAAATTCTCTGGAAAATTTCATCTATCTCATTTTGATCCACATTCCCCTATGTGTGAACAAAAGGTCCAGAAAATCATCTATTTGCAGAATATAGCAAATCAAATGCCAGACGCATTTGTTGATTTGAAAAGGATAACTAAGTCACATATTCCTGCAGAGAATGTGTCCATCCAATTCCAACAGGACCATCTACTAGTGTCATAGCTTTTGAATCTCATACACGCCTAAAGCGTGGCAGACCATTGGGTTCAAAGGATAAAAATCCTAAGAAAGGAAGCACGAAAAATGACACTATAAAAGGATCTCACAAAGAGATTCAAGATTTAATTAATCCTGATATTTCTGAAGATATCAATCATCCTGAGTATCAAGTGAACGAAAAACTAGCAATAAGTTCTACTAATAATGGGATAAAAGTGAATCAAGCAAAAATTATGGTGGATAATGTTTTTGCATATAACATTGCACTTGACATTATGCAAGATTGTAAGGATCTTGAACCTCTGTCTGTCGAAGAATGTCAACGAAGATGCCATTTGCCAAAATGACAAGAGGCATTTCAGTTAAAATTGAATTCACTTGCTAAACGTGAGGTTTTTGGACCAGTAGTCCAAACGCCTAATGATGTAAAATCAGTTGGTTATAAATGGGTATTTGTACGAAAAAGAAATGAGAGAAATGAAATTGTAAGATGCAAGGCACGCCTTGTTGCACAAGGATTCTCTCAAAGACCCGGTGTCGACTATGAAGAAACATATTCACCGGTTATAGATGCAATAATTTTCGACATCTCATCAATTTAGTTGTACATGGAAGTCTTGAAATACATCTGATAGTTATGGTTATAACTTATCTTTACGATTCACTTGATAATGAAATTTATATGAAAATTCCAAAAGGACTTAAAATGCCTGAAGCATAAAATGAAATCTCGGGAAATGTGCTCAATCAAATTACAAGTCATTATACGGCTTAAAACAATCAAGACGCATGTGGTATAGTCACCTCAGTGAGTACTTGATAATAGAAGATTATATAAATGATGTCATTTGTCCTTGTATTTTTATTAAGAAAACAACATCGGGGTTTGTTTTATGTTGATGACATTAATCTCATTGGAACTCCAAATGAGGTCCAAAAGGCAGTTGAATATCTAAAGAAAGAATTTGAGATGAAGGACCTTGGAAAGACAACTTTGTCTAGGGCTGCAAATTGAACATTTAGCAGAAGGGGTCTTCATCCATTAATTTGCATATACAAAGAAAATTTTGAAACGTTTTTTACATGGACAAAGCACATCCATTAAGTACTCCAATGGTTGTTCGATCACTTGAAATGAGTAAAGACCTATTCCGATCTCAAGAAGAGAATGAGGAACACCTCTTGGTCCTGAAGTACCATATCTTAGTGCAATTGGTGCACTTATGTATCTTGCTAATGCTACGAGACCTAACATTGCATTTTCTATTAATTTGTTAGCAAGATATAGTTCTTCCCTTACACGAAGACATTGAAACGGAGTTAAACATATATTGCGATATCTAAATGGGACCAATGATATGGGTCTGTTTTATAATAACAAAGATAGTTCAGATCTTGTTGGTCATGCAAATGCAGGTTATTTATCTGACCCACATAAAGCTCGATCTCCAACTGGCTATTTGTTCACATATGGTGGTACTGCTATATCATGGCGATCTACGAAGCAGTCCATTGTCACTACTTCTTCAAATCATGTTCAGATAATTACTTTTCATGAAGCAAGTAGAGAATACATATGGTTGAGATCAGTGATACATTTCATCAAAGAAAGATGTGGTTTGGAGGGTGATGTCAAGGTACCCACAATCCTTTTTTGAGACAATGTTACATGCATAGCTCAATTAAGAGGAGGCTTCATAAAAGGAGATAGAACGAAACACATTTCACCAAAATTATTCTTCACATGATCTTCAGAAGAACGGTGATATTGATGTACAACAAATTCGTTCAAGTGATAATCCAATAGATTTATTTCACCAAATCTTTACCAGCCTCAACTCTTAAAAAGATGGTACACAAGATTGGAATGCGAAAACTTAACCATATGAATCATGGTCTTTATCAAGGGGACTAAAATACGTGTTGCACTCTTTTTACCTTTGTATAGATTTTATCCTACTGGGTTTTCCTAGAAAAGTTTTTAATGAGGCAGCAAGCAATGTGTATTATGAATGTCTATATATATTTTTTCCTTCAACTTTACTTTTACATGGACATCTACGGGGGAGTGTTGTAAAACTAAGGTGAATGCCATGTGGGGCCACCCATTTGAGGAATATCATCACTTGTAATGTCGTAAAACAAAAGTGGATGCCATGTGGGCCCCATCCATTTGAAGACTACCATCACTTGGCCAATTAAATGACTTCTTAATGGCCAAGTGATATGTTTGTACATTATTTTTTGGCTATAAATAGCCACTACTTCATTTACGAAGGAATATATATTCAAATACAATACAATATAATACGACATTCTTTCTCTCTTTGCTTGTTCGTACAAAGACCCAATTATAGCAAACTGATTTTACATCATTGGGTGTTTGGACTACTGGTCCAAAAACCTCTTTTTCTCTCCTGTCTCACACATTCTCTCGAAACCCTAGAACCGTTTTGTCCTCTTTTTCACCTCTTCTAGATTCTATCAATCACTATGAAATTTTTTGGAATTTTCAAATCTAGCTTCTCTGGAATCTTGAACTATAGTTGGATTTGATGATTCCTTTCATGTCCAAATCCTAGTTTTTCTTGGACTTTTAAAAAAAAAAATTGTTGGGCTGGAAAAATGAACCCATGGAGGGCTTTGTGCCTGTTGCTGATGATCTCAGAGCCCCATCGAAGTCATGGTAGGTGGATGACTTGGATGCTAGCATGAGACGGCTTATACTTTTCTTCTTCTTTTTTTATGACAAGGGAAACCAGCAGTCGCTACCCTTTGAGTGCACACAGGGTAAAACCCCCGCTCCTATGCAATAGCTCACAAACCACATAGGAGAGGTAACCCACACTAGGCAAGCCCGATGCGATGAGCTCAACCCAGAAGGAAAATCCCTTGCTTTCCCTAGCAAGGGGTTTCGAACTTGAGACCTCCAACATGGAAGTCCCAAGCCCAAACCACTGGGCCACCCAAAGGGTTATACTTTCTTCTTCGAAGAATTCAAAGGACACTGATTCTTCATTTTCTTCTATGAACAATAATCAATTTGAACTGCATGATTCCTAGGCATTGGCTGGTGCTATTTCGGGAAGAGTGTCGAAGGATGTTGTTAACACAGTGGATCAGTTTCTTCGTGAGGCTTTACAAAACCCTCGAGAGCATCTTTCCATTATGAGGATGGAGCAAGATGTTGAAAAGTTCATCAGGGATCCTGGCCAACAACAGATGGAATTCCAACGGCTGCCTACCTCCTATTTCCGACTGGCTGCTCACTGCGTGGCACAACACTATTCACTACAATCAATGGTTTTGTTGGACAATAGTTTACCGGATGGCTAGGGTCCCAAAATTATTTTGCGCAGACTTCTGAATGCCAGATGTCTTTGAATCACTTGGCTGACATTCTGGTGAATATGCCTCAAGGAGATACTGGTGTGGTTAAGGTTGCAATAAAGTATTATAAAATAACTAACTTAGCAAACTAAGATTAATAACTAACTTAAAAGGAAGAACAAGCAAAGAGAGAAAGAGTATTGTATTCTATTGCTTCGTAAATAAAGTAGTGGCTATTTATAGCCAAAAAGTAATGTACAAACATATCACTTGGCCATTAAGAAGTCATTCAATTGGCCAGGTGATGGTAGTCTTCAAATGGGTGGGCCCCACATGGGATCCACCTTAGTTTTACAACACTCCCCCTTTAATGTTCATATAAAAGAAAAATTGAAGGAAAAAATATTATATAGACATTCATAATATCATTTTTAACTTATGTTAGGTTATTTTTAACTATGCCAAACACTCTCAAAAGCTAAAAATGACTTTTAAGTAGATTTGACCAACTTTTAAGCCAATCCAAACAGACTCTTAGTCCATTTTAACCAGCCCGCCCATTTAACACCTATATATTCAACCACACAAATTGTACTTCAAAATTAACACCTTATACAATAAAAGATGTCCAATCCTTGTTTCTTTTATCACTATTTCCATACAACATAAAGTGTATTGAATACCTCCATACCCCTATATCTCCCATGCAAGGAAAAAAAAACTACTATATTTCAATTTGTTTGTGTTAGTTTGACTTGGCACGAAATTTAAGAAAGTAAAAAGACTTTTAATTATGGTGGTCTCAAACTAAAGATGTGTATAATGTACCAAAATGTCTTTTAATCTTGTGGCCTCAAACATGCCACATGGGATGTTGAAATTAAAGAGTTACCAAATTAGGAATGAGCCATTCTTTTTTAAATAGACTAAAAAAAAAAGTAAAACAAACAAATTAAAACAGAGGGACTACGAGGGACTACTAAACAGTGTAACAGGCACCAAATTACCTTCCAATTTGGCTGATTGGCAGGAGGATTAGCTGCAAGTTTGCTGGAGAGTTTCCTTTTCAAACCCTCGATTTCTGCAAATAACGAAAGAGAGAAGAAAAACATAGAAACTTAGCAAGAAATTCACGACTTACCAGAAAAACAAAGGGAGAGAGTATGATAAGAATTCAATTTAATTTAATTTTTAATAGTATGGTAAGAATCAATGTGTCACAAACAAAGACAAGAACACACCATTTTCTCCTGGTTTTAGGCGTCCACCGGGGAGCTTGCAAAATGTGTTCCCAATTTGCAGAAGAAGAATATGAGGATGATTATGTTCTTGTACCTGTGAATTTTATACACAATTAGTGATATCTGAATATTTGATACCAGAGTGTCATTGATAAAACAAACTTCTCCGATCTGGATGATTTATGTGCCAAAATTAGTATTTTCACATATCTTCTATGCGGTACCACTTTGCCATGTATCTCTACAGAATCTATATGAAATGTAAAAACTGCACAATTTCAAATTTTCAATAGTATGAGCTAGTATTTTTGAGATTTGGAGGAAAAGAAAGCAGCTGACAAGTCATCTTAAATTCTTAATTTGATGAGCGTGTATATTCATTCTTTTCCCATCACAAAATCCTGAGACCTGCTAATAGTAGCTCTATGAAGGAAATAGCATCAATCATCGGCAGTCTCAACAAGGAAAAAACTGCTCAAAAGGTGAGTCACTACCAAGAGAAGAAAAGGCTTGATATATGAAAAGGTGTACTCAAGCCATCTGTCCTACATACTTCTTATTCAAACCAACTCACACGGTTCACCAGTTCTTCCAACTGTACAAAAATACTCAAGAAGTGTGGGAGATAACTCTCTAAACATCAAGTATCCCTCAATTCTGAAATAGTTGGGTTACATTACATAAATCCTACGTATCATTCTTCTCTACTACAGAGGTTCTTCAAAACTAGAAATAATCTAAAGCGCACATTCATCCCTGCATTGACATGCAAATCTATAACTAGACTAAGAATATCAAAAGATAACACTGAACCAACTGTGAATGTAATAAAAACTTAGCCTTAATCCCAACTAAATGAGCAATTTTATAGATCCTTTACTTCCTTTGTGTTTTTAACTTATCCACCTTGATTTCAGGAGATCGTCTTTTGCAGCAATGGCTATTCTCTACCTTAATAATTTTAATCATTATAGTATTGCATCCACAGGCACAGACCCAAAGTATACTTAGGATATGTTGAAACTATTTCAGGTAATATTCTTTCACTAATCCTCTGTGTCACTTGCATCCTCTATTTGACTGAACATTTCTAACCTGGTCCAGTTTTGTGTAACCACACATCTATCTTAGAAACAACAACCTCATACCCAATGTAGTCCCACAAATGAGGTCTAGGGAGGGTGGGGTAGAGATGTTTCCCATAAACCCTCGGGTCAAGAAAATCGTTTTTCAGGACAGGTTTGGAAAAAAATGCACGAGTAAAAAGATATGATGAAAATATTGAATAACAAAAAGTGATGACAGTAAAAATAGTAAAGATAACCAAAGTAAAAAATACAACAATAATAATAATAAAATTGAAGAATAAGCTACTGCTAGCATAATAATAATAACACATCTATCTTGTCATCCACTTTAATATGGCATTCACCTAGTGGATATTCTAGGCCTTAGAGGCCCAAGCCACCCAACAGTCAATACCATACACATTGATAGTTCAAGCCCTTTCTTATTCTTAATAATCAGATTCCACTTTGTTTTGTCCAATTTTCTAACTCAAGCCCTCATCATAAAGCTGCAACAAAAATCTTCATGCCAGACTTGTGGCACTTTGAAAATTAGCATAACCAGATATGCTATCATATGCTTTCTCCGGGTTAATTAACATCAGATGGAGATTCTTCCTCCTTCCTAGAAACTCCAAATTGATCTTCTAAACTAAAAGATAGCATGCATAAATACAGGTCCAATTCAACCATTTTGCAAAATTTGGCAAGTCATAATATCAGAGGAAGGAAAAACAAGCTAACCCTAATTATAGATGAGCTAACCATCACAATACTAGATGAAATCTCGTAGTCTATGCTATTTGCTGATTATATTGTGCTAATTCACTTAATTGATGAAACCAGGGAGGTGTCAACCAAAAGCGCTTGAACTAGGGAGAAATACTTTAGAGAGTAAGGGGTCATCTGATTTGCAGTATAGGATAAAGTAGTTATAGTATAGAACTGTACAACGTTTGTTCCTCTGTTTGGTTACTATTTTCTTTCTTGGTATAATAATCATTGTATAACTTATACAGGAATCATCGTTTTATTATACCATCTCCTATGTGGGATAAGCATTACATTGATTAGTTACACATGAATAATAATCGAATTGACAAAATTTCCTTCTCTCCAAAGTTTTTTAATACCATGGTCATTTCTCTTTCTTCAAGGACCAAGAGTATAATTGGAAACAAAAAATTATCTAACTTAAAACCAAACACATGATTTAAACTATACACTACATATCTCATTTTCAATGCAATGAACCAAACACCTGATAAAAAATAATCTTTGCATCACAATCCCTACATACTTTTTTTGAGATTCACAATCCCTACATTATTAATCCATGTATTACAATCATTGTGCAACTTGTTTTTTCAATCAAACGACTCCTAAAGACTTTAGGGTAAATGGAAGTAAAACTGAATACATGCAAACCAAGGTTAGTCATTAGTCAACATTGAGAAGAGCGAAGATGAGGTCAAGACTAGACGAGATTGAGGTATCAAAATGCAAATAATTTAGATATATACGCTCGTTATTTCAAGAGAGTGGAAGGATAGATGAAGCCGTGAGCTTGCCAATAAACCTTTTGGAAATCTCTACAAGTCAACATATACTTGTATATACTAATACATTCATCACCCACTTTCTTAGATTTTAAAAAAGGTGGCATTGATCATCAAAATAAGCATGTGATGATTCATCTGATCTAACTATTCTTTCCAAGATACTTTCTTAACTCTTCCCTAACAGGTTTCGGGCTTGTTGTACAATTCTGACATTACCTCGGTAAAGTATTACAACAACAACATACCTGTGATCCCATAAATCGGGTCCGGGGAGGGTGGGGTGCACGCAAACCTTACTCCTACCTTCGATAAGGTAGAGAGGTTGTTTTTATAATACCCTCGGCTCGAGAAAAGCATTTTCAAAACAGGTTTGAGAAATACAAGAGTGAAAAATTCTCAAAAATAAAACAAGAGTGAAAACCACCTATGTTTAAAATCACGGAAGACAAGTAAAGTATTGACGACAAAAAATAGTAGAGATAAGCAAAGTAAAGAAAAGAACACACACAATAGTAGTGAGACAGATAAGGGAAAGGTAAGCAAACAAAATGTTCTAAACTATCGCCAAGCTCACCCACAGATAAGAGAGACAACGCTCAACTACCTACTTACCTTCTACCCAAAATCCTCAACCTCCCCTTTCTCCTATCTATATCATGCCCTCGGTGAGCTGAAGATGTTTCATGTCATGTCTAATCACCTCTCCCCGATTCTTCTTCTACCGCTCCTCAACCCTTTCACTGCCACTCTCACACCTCCTCAATGAGGCATCTATGTTCCCCCTCTTCACATGCCCGAACCATCTCAATCTCGCTCCCGGCATCTTTTCTACCACGGAGGTCACTCCCACCTAGTCCCGAACATCCTCCTTCCTAATGTTATCCCTCCTAGTAATGTTTGTAACAATCAATAGCCATAACTTGCAAATACGGCAGATTAGTTGAAAAACAGCCACTTGAGCTTAAGGAATTCAGTTCAAACTTCAGGAAATTTTCCTAAAATTATTCTCTCATGTTGCCTGTTGAGATTCACATCTAGGTGCATTGTAAACAAAACTTGTCTGCTTTATAAGTGATAATAAACTAGCAACAAGATGCAGCACACAGAACATAAGTCAGCATCTAGGACAAAACCAGACATACATCCACCCCAGAGGTTTTTTCTTCTCTGTTTTTTTATTGGGGGGGAGGCTTCGGAAAAAGTGACAATAATATCAAAAAGGGGTGAGATTAAAGCTAACGCAAATAAAAGCATTAAAAATTGAAATGAAGAATGGAGAACCATACCAAGAGAATTCCTTCAACACTTGTCCTCATTCCCTCCTTCATGTAGCTGCAAACAATGCGTTATCTTAGATGTTTGTTAATAAGAAAAAAAAAAGGTAGAACACGTTGAGTACTAGAGAACCTTAGTACCAGTTTAGGCATGAATACTAAACTTAGGTATTTTTGCAAATGCTTAAGTGTGATAGTGAACTTCTCCGAATTTCAAGTGCAATACTAAAATATTGAGTCTAAGGTCCATCGAAAACAGTCTCTCTACATCCCAAGATAGGGGCAAGATCTATATACACTCTACCCTCCGCAGACCCTACTTGTGAGATTTTAACTGAAATACTGGTCCATTCACAAATCTACAACTTTCACAAAACCAACATTTCTAAATGAAATCCATGTTCAAAAACAACTTCAACACAAATATTGTCTAAACGCCTATTAATTTGTTAATCCAAATAATTAAGTATTACATTGAGATGCCTCCAAAGAAAACAGGACAGTATTAAGGCCCGAAAGGGTTTAATCTAGGGTTTTAGGGAATCACTTGGTCCAAGTACTACAACGACAAGAAAAATATCAAGAACGAAAGGAAGGTTAAAGGGAAAGAATCGTACTTGACTTTCATACGAGCAAGGCGATCGGCAACGGATGAATCCTTCTCCATTTTATGCTCTTTTGTACCAAATGTATAACTAGAGAGTGGGTATGTGTTCACTATAGCCGACGAGACCATTTTGATCTGTTCAACCGCTTCTTTTGGGCCAACCGGCGAGAATGAAACTCCGGCGACGGCGAGAATGACACTCCGGCGACGGCTCGCTGATGATACTGGTTTCTTCTTCCTTGGTTTTCCTCTTTTTCCCTCCTACTGAAATTGATTTTTACTATTAATACATGCTTCCGGACTTTTGTGTCCTTTTTAAGGGGAAAAAAAATTGTATATTTTAGTATTTAACCGGATCTTTTAGTCATATTTTCAATAGAACAACTTTCATATATAGCAAACATAAAAAAATATATTTGTATGTTATAGATATAGTTTGTATAATTGCGCTCTATAACAAATTTTATATTTGCTATGGAGCTTCTGATTTGTATAATTCGCTAAATACATCCAATTTTATACAAATTGTTCAGTTTTGTATAAATTCATTTATACATTGTAATTTGTATAATAAGATCTGCATTTGTATAATTATAAGTGTATAGGACGAAAATATATGTATTTATATTTGTATATACATTTTTCTCTCGCTTTATACAAACACAAACGCATTTTATACATTTTATACCGAAATGTAGAAAATGGCTAATTGTATACCGAAAATGGTTAATTGTATACTGAATGATGGCAAAAAAATGGGATGTTTGCTGCGAATTACAAATCAAATAAACTATAGCTATAACATTTAATTTGAATTTAGTTTGTTATTTTATACAATTTTCCCTTTTTAATATTTATTAAAAATAGTTATATTTTAGTTTGTTGTAGGGCTGATTTATGTAAGGTAAATATCACTAAAATTTCAAATCAGTTATGTTTCAAACAATAATCGACAGGGTGCCTCTTTCCCTTATTCCTCAAAATTCAATATCGACTTTTAACACTCTATTGATAATACTTAATCTATGTCGAAGTGAAGTTGATTTATTTGAGTTTTTTTGTTGGCAGTGAAGAAGATTTTGAAATAATCTATTAGAATTTCGATGAAACACAATTTGGCACGAAATTTCCATCTTGATTTTTGAAATATTCGTTAAATACATAATAGACCAGGTATTTGTTAACTCGGTGAATCGTTAATTTGTTTGAAAGTGTTTCAAATATGGCTATTGAAAGTATTAACATGCATACATTTGATTTTCCTAGATTTTTTTTTAATTTTGTGATATTACAATTGAAATCTTTAAATGGATTTGAAATATTGTGTGTATGCTTTTTTGAATACAAAATAAGTATGAATACAATTTGTTTGTATACAAAAATATGTTTGTGATTCTTAGTGTGATTGAAGAATTGTAGGTTTGGCGGAATGTTATACAAAATATATTAAAAGTTTATTTGTTTTTATTTTTTTTCAAAATATAGTATCCATCCTCGAAATTGGGTACAATTTTATAGTTCATAATAGTATTTTGTAGCAGATTGTTTAAAATACAAGATAATTTGTGGTTAGGATACATTCAGGTAATTATTGAAATAATTTGGGATACAATTTAATGAATGTTATACAAAGTACTCCCTCCGTCCCATTTTATGTGGCGACATTTGACCGGGCACGAAGTTTAAGAAATAGATGAAGACTTTGAATGTTTATCAAATTGCCCTTCAAAAAATAATAATATTAAAATTTAAAAACAAAATATACGCATTCCAATTTTTTTTTAAAAGTACACTCATTTTCTCTCTCCTATATATTGGTGAAGGATAAAGTCAAAAAAGATAAAAGCACAGTGACTTTTCAGATTTATGTTCCCAAAATTACTCATTTTCTCTTTTCTCTTTTTAAGTAGTTTAGAAACCACTCTCTCTTTCTCTTATGAAGAAGATCGTCCCATCTATGCAAACCATGTTTTTTTTTGAAAAAAAATCCTCTTCTTGATTCCAATTATTTTTAGATTTGTGGCGCCAAAATCACATTAAATTCATGGCGCGTAATCATAATTTTGTTTGAATTTTTTCAGCAAGTGCTATTAAGAGAGATGTTTTTTATATTTTCATATCATTTTTTCCCTCTGTTACCTTTGAATAATTTCTCCTGCAGGACTATTGTATTGTTTTCTTTCATCTCCTTTTTTTTCGTTTCTTGCTTATACTCCAGAAATGAGTATAGTTGTATTTCCGGAAGATCCAACCACTAAAAACAAGCGATTAAAATTTGAAGAACGTCAAGCCATTGCAGATTGGCTTTTGAAAGAAAGCAAGGAAGGAAAACTCAAATATGGATCTTTAAAACAAGCTGATATTTTGTTCAACAAATCAAGAAGAACTATTTTACGCATTTGGAAGCAATGTAAATCATCTGTTGATAATGGTACACCGTTGGATGTGTCTTCGAAACTTGTAGGCAGAGTTGGAAGGAAACGGGTGGAAGTTGACATTAATCAAGTTAAAGAAACTCCACTTTGTCGTCGAACAAATATTCGATCTCTGACTTTTGCGATGAAATCAACTGTCTTTCGGCGGATAAAAGATGGCACTATTCGGACACATACCAATTCCATTAGGCCTCAACTAACCGAACAAAATAAGAAGGTACGACTTGAATTTTGCTTTTCAATGCTTGATCAGAGTACAATTCAGACAAATCCAAAATTTGTGAATATGTTTAATTATGTTCACATTGACGAGAAATGGTTTTTTTTATCTAAAAAGAGTGAAAGGTACTACCTACTTCCTGAAGAACATGAGCCTGATCCATATCGCTCTTGTAAAAGTAAAAACTTTATTCCAAAAGTTATGTTTATGGCTGTTGTTGCTCGTCCTCGATTTGATGAAAATGGAATTGAGCTATTTTCTGGAAAAATAGGTATTTTTCCATTTGTAGTTAAGGAACCAGCTAAGCAGAATAGCAAAAATCGAACAGCAGGAACTCTCGAAACAAAAGCCATTCTATCAGTAACTAAAGATATTACTAGGGCTTGTTTGATTGAGAAAGTTCTTCCTGCCATTAGATCAAAATGGCCAGCTTCGGATTCAAACATTCCTATCTTTATACAACAAGATAATGCAAGACCACATATTGGTGTCAATGATTTGGAATTTGTTGAAGCTGTCCAAAAAGATGGATTCGACATTAGACTATGGTTTCAACCACCTAACAACCCTGATTTAAATGTGTTGGACCTTGGATTTTTTAGAGCAATCCAATCTCTTCAATATCAAAAGGTTCCTTCAAATGTTGATGAATTAGTGGAAGCGGTGGAAAGATCTTTTGATGAAATGAAGGTTGAACAACTCAATCATGTATTTCTTACTTTACAATCTTGTATGATTGAGGTGATGAAAGGTAATGGAGACAACAACTACAAAGTTCCTCATTTGAACAAAAACAGATTAGAAAGAGAAGACAATCTTCCTCTTCAACTTTGTTGTGATATTGGTATTGTCAATCATGTTTCAACTCTACTTCAACAATGATAGGGATAACTAGTATGGCAAATTTTTCTTTTTTGAAATGCACTTTTGATAATTTTGTAGGAACATAGAAAATTTTAACAAATGAAAAATGAAATGATATTTTATAAGTAGAGAAAGTACTAGTATTGTGTACATCCAAGGTGATCACCATGTTATTTTTGTACTCCTTTAATATGTGAAAGTTGAAATGATATTTTGTCAAGTATATTAGGAGCATTACTATTGTTTACAATCATGGTGACCATATGTAATTTTTGTACTTATGGCTATTAGTTATGAAAGTATAACAAAAACTACGATGGATCCAAAGTAGCATGAATTATTTGTAGCATTGTCACCATTTTTTTTGGTGCCTTATTGCTAATTTAATCTTAAAAACAAATTTCATTGATATTGAATTAAAATTGTAAGTTGAGAGCAATGTTACGAAACGATTATTATTGAATTGTTCACTATCTAGTTTGAATTTGAAGTTTTTGATTTTCCTTAAATAGATTGTAATTTAAGATAATCATCAAATTCATGTTAGAATACTTTTCATTAAAATCATTACCTTACTAAGTGAAAGCCCCAAAATTTTAGTGAAAAAATAAGAAAGCAATGTAATGTAAAAATGCAAATCTTTTTTTCTTGGTGAAACATTAGAAAGAACGAAGAATAACTGTGGACAAAAAAAGTTTATACAAATTGGAAAGAGTAAAGAATGGTATTCTAGTCATATACAACAAAAAGCTACAACATTGTTTTTATAGGAAAGAGAAATTGCAGGTTCAATTAATTATTGATGACCTTTTATAAAAAAAAAATAGGAGTATTATTTTTAAAATTAAGTGGGACCAATAAGGGTAAAAGAGGAATTGTTTGTTTAAATATTTGCCATATATGGAAATGTGATATTCTTTTTGGGACTAACCAAAAAGGAAATGTTGTCACATAAAATGGGACGGAGGGAGTATATGTTAACTATAATATATTTTTGAAATACAAAAAATAAGATAAATATATTTGACAATTATGGAATTGTTATAAAATAATATAGTGGATGTCCACTACATCAAGAAGTTACTCCATTATTTTCCTCCATTATGAAGATAATCATAACCTCCATAACTTTCACCTTTATAACCATTATTCTTGTAACCTTTCACTTTCATAACCTCCCCATTATATTCAAGTTAATGTCATGTTTATGACTAACCGTTTGTATGCCTCTATGTTACACTATAAATAGAGGCATAAGGGTTCATATTGTATACACTTGAAGACTTGGAATAATAAGAAAAGCTCTCATCTCTTGTCTCCCTATTTCTATTGATTTCATCTTCTATATTTCTTGTCTTATTTTGCTTTAGTTTTATAACACGTTATTAACACGAATGTTCTACTATTGCAGGATTGAAGCAAAACAAATAAAAGGAGGTAAAATAATTGTGTTTATTTTTCTCTCGAGAGCAAGGTAAATTATTGTGGAATCTATTTTATCTATTACTTGTGAACAAGGTGAATGATTAATATTATTGTTACTGTGCATTTTTTCACCTATGACTATATATACTTTCTTTTGTATGTGGAATTTATTTTATATTTTATTTATGATTATGCTCACTGTTTTGGTTATTACATAAGCTTTTAATTTATTTTGTTTTGTGCGTGAAATATTTTGGGTTCACATGGAAATTGAAAAAGAGGTGGTGGTAGTGAAAAGTTTTATTTTAGTGTAATTGGAATTATTATTTTTCTAGTGTGCAATGGATTCTTTGATTTATAATGGTAATTCACTACCTTAATAATTATGCACCAAACATTATATAATATAAAGCTTATAATTAAGCAAATATATAAAAGCTATCACCACCTAAAGCAGTAAAACAAAGTCGTTATGGCTATGTTACTAACATAGACAACCATGAATGGTATTCATTGACAGGTGTTATATGTAACTCTCTGTTTTGACTAGTTTAAGATATTAGTACATACTTTGTTGAGAATATTTTTATTGTGTTTTTTTTTTGTACTATATTTTATTATGCATGCTAATCACAAAGTGACAATTTTGTTCTATATTTATTTGTACATGTTAATCACAAAGTGGTATTTTTTTTTTTTAAGACTCAATGGTGAGTCCTATTATATTTGGCATTTATGTCATTGATTGAGGGTAAGACGAAGGATTCAAATCCTATCGCACCAAGAAGGTAATCGGGTGAGAGTCCTGATGCATCATGATAATAAAATGTTGGGTTGGGTCCCAACAAATAATGACCTAAAATGCCTTTTTATGGGTAAGACGTTGGGTTCAAGTCCCAACATAATATAATGCTGATGTAATGATGACTGAGCAAATTGAGATGCTCTTGATAAAAGTCATGAAATCCGCTCAATTGATTTGCTCCATTCTCTTATGTGAATGTGATAACAGTGCATAATCTGAAAAATGACAAGTGGTTGAATGTATGAATATGGGTGTGGTAAAATGATAATGGTCATCATTGTGGTAATTAAAAGGAAGAACATTATGGGTTCTTAAGATGTTCCTTCAAATGTAAACATAATTTTGTCCATTAAAGTGATATAAAAGGTTATTGGACACATTGTTTCTTAAGATGGTCCTTCAAATATGAAGGTAATTGTTAAAGGTAATTTTTATCCATCAAAGTGGTATGAGAAGTTATTGGGCACATTGTTGTTGGTGCAACCCAATTTGAAAAGTTTTGTAAATCCTCCATCAAAATAAAGGAATACAAAGTGGTAGTACAATTGGTACATTTGACCTCGTAAAGTGATGTTGAGGTGAGTCACATAAATTTGATAATGCCAAAGCATGACAATGAGTTTCTAATAAAAACTTATGGAGCATGTGCAAATGGTTATTGTCCATTTCTTGAAGAAAATGTGACTTGTGTTCGTATGGATAAGAACATGTTCATGTATTGTTGGATGAATGTCACATCTCACCTCTACGGGAGGTTTGAGAGATTGAAAGAAAATATGTTGACATAAATGGTTATTTTGGTCATATACTTTGAGTATTGTGGTATGTTTTATTATGAATTATTGAGGACAAAAGAAAGAAATAAATATTTTCTATAAAGGTTGTGGCCATGATCAAAATAAATGTTGTTGTGTGGCAACACAAATTTGTCATTGGTTGTCAAGAAATAAGTCTTGCATGTAATAATTTTAACCATGACAATAATAATAATTTTCTCCTTGAAGGAGATGGGCACCATAAAAATGGTGTTGTGAAATTTATGGTAGTACACAAAATTAGTTGAGAGTTCCGAAAGAGCTAATTTGTTACTATCCAGAATGAAATTGTTCATAATATTGGGATTGTAGTAAGTCTCAAAAGAAACTTTTTAAGTTTCGGAGGAATTGAAAAAATAGATTATTATATTGAGACTATAAATTATTGAAAGATTAAATATCTTCAGATTACTATAATCAAAGCGGGTTATGAATATTTACATAAAAGGTTACCCGCCTTTCTTTGGTTTGTTGAATAAAAATATGAGCATGATGAAGGAATCACATGCAAAAGTAAACTAGAAGTTTACTAGAATAAAGATCAGTTGGCATAACCGGTTGACCATTTTGGTTCAAATGTGATGCAAAAGAATTGAGAATTCATGTGGTTATATGTTGAAGAAATAAAAGATTCTTCAAGAATTCTCATATGTTGCTTGTTCTCGTGATAAAATGATCATTGTACCAGCTAAGGTTGGGATTGTATCCCCTGAAATTATTTAGAACATATATAAAGGTGAATATGGGCCCGTTCACCTGCCATGTGGACCGTTCACTATTATGATTTAATAGATGCATCTATGGAGTGGTCACATGTGCATTTGTGTCAACTTACAAATTGGTTTTTGTAAGGTTGTTTGCTCGAATTGTTAAATTAAGAGCACAGTTCAAAACTATAAAATTATGTTGATAATGTTGGTTGGTTTAACGGAAATTGTATGCCTCCAATTATAGCTAGACCAATGATTATGAGAACAAATCTCTCAAATAAAACTTGGCATGAGATGAGTTTATTTAACGTGAATGCATCAAGCCAACAAGGTTCTCCCATCACAATTGGTTCAAGGTCAGGAACCAAATAATTTCCATCTAAAAATTTGATGTGTGCACATATGATTTTATTGCTCCACCATGCACAAAGATGGATCCCCAAATGAGGTTGGGGTGAATGTTAGATTTCCTAACATTAGTGTAACACCCCAGAAAATTATTGAGCTAAGAACCGAACCGTTCTTCATAGTGAGTGAGATTTTTTCAAGGAATTTAAAATTTCTTGAGTATTAAGGTCACTAGATGTTGCACCTTGAGTTCCAAGAAGAACCTAAGAGAAAAGCATTCAAGTCATTCCTAGTTTTTCTTAAGTTTTGGGTCAACTTCAAACGACCATAACTCCTAGTACAGGATGAGTTAGGTGAGCCACAAGATATAAAATTAAAGCCCTTCGAGTCCTCTTTCTAACGCCACTGAGTTTGCTCAATTCTGAGCTCTGAGTAACAAGTTATGACTGATTTACTAACGTCGCGCAAACCTGGCAGCAGCTCCGCAAAAGCTCCGCGACGCGGAGCCAATATGGACCTCACTGCCTGGTGAAAAATAATTCCGACTCCCAGCTCGTTTTAATTATTTCTTTAGGGGTACTTTAGTCCTAAAAACCCTTAGGAGGTCATCTGAATTGCCCTAAACATGTAGAAAATCAGTTTTCTTAAATCAAAACCCTTTCATCCACTCCAAAGATTCTACGCTCAAGAAATTCAAGAAGAAAAGCTAAGGCTAGGGTTCTTCTTTCCAGATTTTTCCTTCAAGTTCTTCAAGAAGATGTCCTTTCAGGTATGTAAGCTTCCATAGTGTTGGGTTTGTTCACCCACACGCCAATCATGTTAATTTCAGCGTTAAGTTCGTTCTAGAAAGTTGAAAGTATGGTGTTCTTGAAATTGGCTTTAGTTCTTGAGTTTTGATGAGATTATTGAGTTCTA